ACCCCTTCATAGTGGACAGTCATTACTGTTTTCGGTCCGTCATGCATGTTGTCGCCATCTACTACCTGAAACCATCGTCCTTTGCAGGGCGAGACGTCGCACGCGACGCCCAGCAGCGCGGCGAATTACGATCCTCTTGTCACATACCCCTCTTTCACACACCCCCCCCCCCCCCCAGATGACTGGGAGCGTCAGCAATTATCGATCAGCGAGAGTCCAGCGGAAGAGTGAGCAGATAGTGCAGCAACAAGTGCTCATGCGCAGAGTCTGTATCAAAGGGTGCAGAGGCAGCTACTGCGCTCTCTAACAAACACCTGCACCACACCGCTAACCGCACCAGGCCTGCGCCTTTCTAATGACACGCAGCCGTTGGACCGCTTGCCATCGTGGTCGTAGACCACACCGTCGTCGGATGAGAACTCCATTTTATTTTTTTAGTACATGCGGCAGTATCTACCGTAACTATTGGCACTATGTCTACGGGAAACTCGTTTGAAATTGCTTTCTGAGTTATGAAAAACGGAGACTTTTCCCAGCAGGTTTTTAACCGTTTCACTTCTTTGTTTCGCCTTATAACACGCTTAGTGTTCGTCGGATCCTGATATCGCGCGAACTCATCTACCGAAATTTAGGGTATCTTTGGGTATCTATTGCCTCTGACGGAAGCTTCAAACATAGTTTCTCTTTCATTCAGACTCGTGAATGCGCATCTGCAATCTTTCCAGGATTTTTTTCATTTCAGGTGCATCAACATGCAACCAATACGGCGCGACGGATCTAAATGGTAATCGTTTCTAGAGAAGATTTCCAAGATCAGAGGAAAAGTCTATCCAGAAAAGCAACAATTATCAAGTCTGTCGCCCAATTTCGTTCACTGTGGTAGGGTAATCACTACGCTGGTAAAGGGAATGTGAAAGGAGAATTAACGCACACTCGCCCCCCCCCCTTCCTTGACAGGGAGTGAATATGGCTGCAAACGGTATAGCTTTGGTGCTGATGCAGTACTTGTGAAATGCATAATCAGTCAATTTCCACTATGTATCCCAAAAGCGTCTAAGTGTCAGCCGGAGCTATGAAAGAGTTCTTTACAAAGTGACTCTCACGGAATTAGATATCTTGTGACGGAAAGCCTCTTTAATACTGATGTCGCTTTCTGGTCCAGTAACCGCGAAATTGTCTGTCCTGCTCTGGGATAGGAACTTTTTGACCCTGTTGAGTCCCACGGTGGATAGAACCAAGGACTCATTTTGGGTCAGTGACGAAATGAGCCATTCGTATTTCAGTACGTAGTTATCTAGCTCATGGCGACTTCCTTTTCCCTTTGTCTTTTACTGTCCCCTTTTGCCTTTTCGAAGTTCAAGGCAAAACTTCAGTTCATCTGAAAGATGTTCCTCACGGGTAGTTCGGCATTCTGTACCGGATTGTGGTGCACGCACCAAAATACGCCAAATTGCGAGATTCGATGGAATAGGGGTAGTTTGACCGCAAATACGCGAATATTACACTCACTGGTGACACCACACCGCAACTTAACCGAATGCCGAGGTAAAAAGGATACAGCGACAGTATAGGGCATCCTCACGACACACTAAACACGAAAGATAACGTGTCGTACTAGCACAGTGGGACTGAGAAGAATTTATTGGCAGCGAGATAAATCAAGAGAAACAATAAAAACACAAAACTTTGAGGTTGACAAGAGAAGAAGATCGGACGCACAGGACAAGCGGTGCGACCCTTGGGAGGAAAATCAGGGTAAATAGTCGGCTGACGCACGGCACAATCGCCTAAATCCCCGAAGATAGATCGCCACGAGGTGACAACACATCCAAGCCCTACGCACAGGACGAGATGTAAAACCCACTACTACCACTTGTATCGAGGCCCCTTTTATAATCCATTATCCTTCCTGCGCGTCAAATACCTAAAATCGCACTGATAGGAGACCACCTTCCCCACTTCTTATGACCACTTCGCACATCCGTATCGTCTTTTGGCTGCTCCCATCAGCAGATAGCTCGCACATTCCGTGGCGCCCCCCCCCCACGTCTTACTGCACAAACCCCTCCCCGCCCCCTAGCGTAGTTGAATAGTCCCCACCGACCGCTTATTGACGCTAACGTAGCGATCCGCCTGCCGAGACCACTTCCGGACCACTTCTCTTAGATGAGAAACCTCTCTCAGTTTGGATAACCGCTCATTCCCGTCTTTAGCAGCTGATCGCGTTCACTACTGCCACTCTGCCTTCCTCTTAACAACGATTAAATCACTTACCTAATGGAAAATGCTCTCCCTGCTGTGTATATCCGATACCCCTAGATCCTCTAAAGCCTTGGTGCCCAAGACAACTTCTTCCTCCTTTCTTCTGCTAATGTGAAAAGCAAATTTACAGCGATTTCCTTCTTGCAGTTCGGGATCTATAATGACTGCACCTGGGGAATCATCGGAATCTGGTCCACAACACCCGACCTTTATCTCCTCTATCGCCTCTAGCTTGAAATTTACACTCCTCTATCACTTCTAGCTTATCTACATCGTAACCGCCCTGCTGAGCCTTCGCCAACAGATATAATGCTGAATGCCGCCCACAGATATAGTGCTTATCATTGATCCAGTTTCAGTCAATGCCGGACTTGTTCTATTGAGCAGGCGCAGGGATGCCACCAATATCCAATCTTCAATGTGCGTGCTTTTCATCTAATTATCATCGTTCACTGCTATCCCCAAGCTACTCGTCTGTTTAATAATGCTTGACACTCTAGAAACAAAAAAAAACCCAGAAACAAACGAAAACTCAGAAACAACCCCACCTGGGTTATCTAGTGCCTGCTTCGCTGTTGGACGCCTCCCCGAATGTTGCCTCGATGACTCCTCCGATAGCTGTCCAGTCGAAGACGCCATCTTCTGTAATAGGCTCCTTCGAGTCACGTCGGTCTGGTTTCCGGTCGAAGGGCAGTCCAAACTCGGCTTACCATGCTCCCCGTGTGCTGCTTTTGAACCATTGCTTGGAGCGTTTCGACTACACCTCTGGTCACAACACGTCGGTTCATAACATCTCACAAATGTCCGCTAAACTTCCCCATCTCCCTCCATGGTTCTTATGTATTCACTCCACTCCTCGCTTGTTTCGATCCCTCCCTTGATCAATATTTTATCCATCTCCATCGCTAACTCCTCGGAGATCCTTGATCTCCCTTACTCATCCCTATTGGCCCCCTCTAAACTGTTAATGTTAGCAAGAGCGTAGAGAGGAGTCGAGGGGCACGGCAAGTGGTGGCGACCCCGTGGAGACGAATAGAGGCTGTATAGTCGTCGGTGCACGTCAGAGTCCTCCCTCGCGATCAAATCCTACCTGTGATCAGATAGTGCCCTCGCCGTCACTTGGGTGGTAGGAGACGCTCCACTTGCACCGCTTTGATCACTTGACTACGCCTTCGCTCTTTGGTTGCTCTGATCACGCCGCCTCTCACTCCGTGACCACTGTGATCATCGTGAGCATTTTAATAGGCCCTTCGCTTCAGGAGTCGCCTCTCCGGAGATTTGCCCCCTTTGGCTCTTCTTCGCAACAACAGCACGGCGTGCTTCTGCTTGTTCGCAGCCTTCCTTTGAGTAGTGATTCCTACCTCTGCTAAGGCTGACGCTTAGCAAAAAAATTCTCTATATCTAATGTGTGAAAAGTACTCTATTTAGGACGGTGACAAAAGAAGAGTGGGTTGAGGAAAAGTTTCCGAACTACTGCTCAGGAATGACTTATTTTGCACCGCTTCCACTTATTAGACGAATGCTAAGAGCCGCATACACGCAACGGTTCTTTTGGGTAATTCATTTTCATAAACTTTTTGGATACCTGCATAGTAGGAAGGGGTGAATACCCTTCATATCATTATACGTGGAAACCATACAAAGCAGGTGCCCTTCTATCTCAAAAAAGAACTACGGAGTGATGACGCTTGGTTCATGTCGGTTTTGCTTTCAGGTCGACGACGTTTTCATTACTGGAGTACTCACAAAAGCAGCTAATGTGACTCTTGTGAATTTGAACAGAGATGTAATTCTTATCCGCAATCGAAAACCGGAAGAATTCGCTATAAGGGAGAACTTCTTTTTAACACGAAAACAATATAGGAGCTTTTGGTTCCATGTGATCAATTATAAACTGCTGGAGTGAACGTTGTTGCCCCAAGCTTCATATTCGATCAACGGGAAGTTTTGGCTCCGTCACCTGAATCCTGAAATTCTATATAATTTCCGCTAAAATTCTTGTCCTTGATCTGAAACGTCGTGGCCAATTTTGTGTACAATATCGTGCAAAGAGAAATGTCTTCTATTACAACCACTCATATTTATTCTACTTCGCTTTTTTGCAGTATGGACAGCAATTTGCTTCCAGACTCTACATTCAAATTTTTCCTACTATTCATCTGGGTTGGACGTAAGAGCTGTTAAGGCCACTATAAATGATTTACATAACGTCTATGCCCCATCTGCAGGACAGTCTTTCACGACACCATTGTGTCAGAGCGATGGACACCTTCTTGAAACAAACACAAAATAACTCGTCCTAAGAATACATGCTGACCATAGGTGATAGTTCACCTAACAGAGTGAAAAGGGTGTAAGCAGAAATAGGTGACTTGGAGCATATTTCCATATCATTCAGCTCAATTCCGTAACCACAAACTATTCAATGTTGGCAGGACGCATAACCCTAATGCTCTATGAGGATACTCATCATCTTTAGTCATACTGCACAGTTGCCAAGACCTATTACTTATACTGTCTACGTATTGCAGGCAGCAGAAATGAAATATGTCTTCGAAGAGCATGAAAGTGTTCGCTCCAACTCCACTTCCTAGCAACACGGTTTACCCGACTCTCTATGGTTTTTTAGGAAGGTTAGTTCGATTTTTTTTTCTAGCAAGGAACAATGACCTATAAGTTGGTGAAAATTCAGCATGAGTCGTCATTGGAGCTCCCTGCCGTAAACTTTTATTCTAATTGTGATGCCAATATTTCGCAGCAGCTTGTTGTAAGATGCAGAAGACCACAGAACTGAGATGCACCGCATGAATATGAACCCATGGATCTGCTTCTGGAGAATATGCGCATCCAAAAATTCCAGTAGTGGATGAGATAAAAAGGAGAATCGATAACTCAAATTCAAGAAATTTCGATCGGCGCCATACCGAACGCTCTGTCACAGCCCTTGAAAGCACAGTGCTCATTGTAATTGTCCAAAATTTACGAAAATTTCTCGTTTTTTTTCGTTGTAGAGCTGCTGCTGAGAGTTGTAGAGTTCCTGCTGACTTTTTGTATAGAGACCCTTATATGGTTAAAGTCAGCTCGCCGAGCTGTATCCGGGGTATGTTATTGACCTCATTTTTGACTGACGCCACTTGGCGCCATTCGGACTCGAAGATTGGCGCCCCCTGGCGCCACTCTTCTCAACAAAATCTGTATGAACTTGCTTGGTTATTCGGTGCCCTGCTCACGAAAGAGACATTCATTTCCGCCATGGTGTCATCTGGCGCCATTAAATGCCAATTCGGCGCCACAACTTTTCTCAACAAGATCTGTATAAAGCCCGTATACAAGTGCTCAACAATTTTGGTTGAGGGTTTTTGGCCCTGCGCTTACGGCACGGGCGCCAAACAGTCAGGACCAAACCGCTATGACAGTAGAGCTCGGGATATTAGCCGATGTCAGTGGCACGAATGCCAAGTTTCGAGTCAGGCGAGGCGATTCGGCAATTGTGAACACATGACAGATAGGTTCGTTCACTCCCTGATCGCCTGACATTGTGATTCTCCCAGTAAAGGCTCGACCAAACCTCTAAGATAGGTACAGGGGCGCTACAGAGTCGGCACCGTCACATTTCTTTTTTCTTCCCTCCTTAACTTCTTTAGCAGTCAGCGGATAAAAAGTTGGGTCTTTGGATCGCGCCATGACGGGGACAAGATTGCACTCAGATTGCACCCAGTGCTATGGTGAGCGCATAATAGCCTGCGCCGCAAGTCCACGTGATTATTGTATGTCTTTACAATTCACACTCACGTGAGCATTCCACAGACCAGGTTGCAAGTTTATACAAATTTTGGTGAATAAAGTAGTAAGGCCAAATCGGCACAGCTGAACAGCTGGGTCCATGAGCACTCCTTAGGCTCCTGTTGACCTCTAGAGGCTACTATCTACTAGCTAGTAACCTTAGCTGCTTTAGCCTCAGGACATGTACGATGGGACTAAACACTCCTCATGGCATGGCAAATGAGGGAAACATCACGGCTGGGGTACACCAAGGATCAGCCCTCAGCCCGTTCCTCTTCCTCCTGACTCTAGATGTCATGGCAAAAGAACTCATGGAGGGACCACTGAAAACCATCCTCTACGCTGACGACATCGCCCTGATAGCGGACAGCAGGGAGGAACTTCAGGACAAGGTGCAGCTGGCAGGATGTGCTCGCTGAGAGTGGACTCCGGCTGAATCCAAAAAAGATAAAAAAGATCGAGTTTCTGAGCTACGAAGCATGTACCAAACCTATCGTAGACCGCCATGGCGAGGGCATCGGAAGGATTGAAGAATTTCAGTACCTGGGGAGCGACCTAGCAGCTGATGGCAGCGTGGACCAGGCGGTGAAGGCCCGAATCAACGCAGCCTGGATGAAATGGAGGGAGTCCACTGGCATCCTGTGCGACCGGCGGTGCTCGAGAACGCTCAAGGCAAGGTGTACCGGGCGGTGGTAAGGCCTACAATAATCGCTCGATAATGCTGTGTTGGGCCTGCGGCTAGACACGACTCGACAGAGTCAGAAACGAGGATGTCAGGGCGGTCACACAGACGGCTCCGATCCAGCTGAAGGCACGAGAGCAGCGACTGCGATGGTATGGGCACGTGCTAATGAGGCCTGAAAAGCGCCCAATAAGGAAGATATTGGAATTCTAAGAAGATGGTCAGCGACTACGAGGAGCCCTCGCGGCAGAAGATGCAGAGGATCGAAACAAGTGGCGATGTCTAACAAGAACAGCGGACCCTGCATGCTTCGTCTCCTCTCTGCGTGCACGCACGCCGGCAGGGAGTCCCAGACGGGACATCCAGACCGTTTTTTCTGTTTTTTTTTCTCCACTACTTCGTCACATATGTAGTCCCTTTTGATCGTATCTGAGCTACACAATATCTATCTGTGATCGCGGACTTTGCTTTTAAGGCGCACGATGCGGCGACCTGGGAGTATTGCTTCACATCCTACATACGAACACAGCTTTTAGCTCTCACATGCAACTTTCCATAAACCTCGGCATGTGTTTTATATGTTGTTGTAACGTCTTTTGAACTGTATGACGACTTTGTTATTAGCTTTTTATTGGCTGCCTTTCGGCGGTTTTACCTTCTTCGGAGAATGAAAGGGTCAAGCCGAATCATGATGTCGACAACAAGTTTTAGCGGTTAAGGCGCCTTGTTACTTTATGTAAAGCCGCAGAGATGACAACGTCAGAGATTGCGGAGAGGGGTACCCGGACAAGCGAGGAATACCGCGACTTGGAGCAGGGTCTGTTTTCGAAACTGCGTGACGTGAGACCTCAATGAGAAAAGGCACTGATGGCACAGAATGGCACTGAAAACACCGAACAAGCGTAGTGTTTAGGCAAGATAGTTCCTTTCGGCCACAATTTACGACCCATTGTTCAACGATATGAAAATGTATCCGAGCCTTATTGCATCAAAAATCGTATGGGTCCATATGAAATGTTTAAGCTAGGGAAACAGGGTTAACACAATGGCTGATATCGCGTATGTGCGTGATATTGCACACACAAATAGCGCATGGTTGAGGTGCTTCCACAGTGAAATGTGGATGACTGTCAGTTAGATACATCCGAGTCTTGCCGCAAGTTTGCGGGTGGTAGCCTCCGGATCTTCCTTGACAGCTTCGAGAACGGTGGACCCTTTC